GCTAAACAAGTGATGGTAAAATATTTGGATTTTTTTTACTTCCTTTTCGCAAATAAAAAATTGTGTCAATTTGTTTTAGACTCATCAACAAACTAGGTGAATTTGCTACCAAAATGTGAGGAAACTATCCCTCCGTTCATCGGAACAAACCAAAATACTAAAAATCCAAGCAAATGAAGTTCAAGAGCGCACTAATTAAGTGACATAAATATTTATTTTTAAATATGAAACCTTCATTTTAGACGGAAAAACAAAGAGCTTTCACAAGTTTTTGTCAATAGAAAAAAAAAAGAAGAAGAGAAATTACAGATTTAGTTCCATTTTATTCACCATATGCTTAAGACAAAAATCCACGTAGGATTCAAGATCTTCCTTCTTCCAACCATCAACAGGATCGGACACAAACGACCACTCAATACGACAAACTTGATCATCATCGTCCACTTGCATTACTCTGACCGTAGCCACGTAGGTTCTAAACCCTACGTTATTCTCAATGACCTCATAGCTCAAACACCGTCCTATTGGATCGATCATGACCAAACGTTCTTTGGCCCACAAGGTTTCTGCTTCGTTGGTTTTGGTCGTGGCGCAGTAACGGATCAGACCTGGCTGACCATCGGTTCCTTGGACACGGTGACACGTGTCAATAGTTGGGAACCACTCGTGGATGTTGCAGAAGTCGGAAACAACCGACCAGACTTGCTCCGCCGTGACGCCGTTGACTTGAGCTGCATGTTTGCCTTCCCACTTAAACGACACCGTTTCTGATCCCATCTGAGCGAATTCGACTTTGACTGGTAGTTGTTTCGGTCCCTATATATTTATCGAGTTTGGTAAAAGAAGAAGCTATTTATTTATACTCAAAGTTGAAGTGTTTAGTTTGAGTATAATTACGATTTTATCCTCAGTTCTCGGATTAACAAAATACGGCCCAATAAACTTACAAGCCCAAAAATAAGGTCCAAAGCACAGTATGAAATTTTCTTTTTTAACCCGGACCAAAATCCATAGTCTCTTTTCTATCGCTTGTATTTGAATTCTGGATCTTGAAAACGTTATTCTTTAAACCGGTTGAACTACTAAACGCTAGGCAATTGCCCTTTTCGATTCGGTTAATTACTTTGTTTAACGAAAATTAATAACTCAGATAATATGTTTCCCTAAGTACTATGAAAGTGCACAAATATTTTGGATATCCTAAACTTTTTTCCATCGCTTGTAGTAGTATATTTGAACATTGGATCTTGAAAAACTATATTCTTTAAATGGTTTAACTGATATCTTGGTTGGACTACAAACTGATATGTTGGTTGCACAACAAATAAATGCTGCCAGGTAAAAAATTATTCGGTTAAAAGTAATTATAAATGTATGTCAGAATGTTTGTTGTTAGTTTGTTTAAACGAATTTATTTTTTTCAAGATATTAGTTGTTGGGATAAAATATGTTTTTTGGGTGGGACGAATCACCCTTTAACCATGCGTATGGTAGGATTTTCCACTTCTTGGGTAGAATTTGTCACCCATGCAAACACCCTCATGCAGGCGTGGGCCTGATCTTACAATAGCCATACCGACTAGTGGCGGACCTAGTAAGAGCTATGCTAGGTTATCTGACCTGGATAAAGTTCATAAATAATAACTAATACATATAAAACTTATTTCGGTGGAACAAATGGTAGAGTTATGGCTAATGACCCATGGTACTCTGGGTTCGAAATCCCAAAGCTACACTTTTGAGTAATTTTTGTTTTAGACTTAATTTGATCCAGGTAAAAAAAAATTCTGAATTCGCCACTGATGCCGACTTGTGCCTGATTCAACAATGGCCCAAATTCCCTAGAAGAAGAAACTCGGGTTCAACAGATCATATGGCCCAAGTTCCCTAGAAGAAGAAACTCAGGTTCAACAGATCATTGGTAGTTCACTATTCGTAGGTAAAAGACCCGGGGCAGGTAAGAAGACTGTTACGGGGTAAAAGAACTCCGAAGGTAAGTATAAAGTCCTAGCCTCCTTATCAGGGGACTAGGCAACGTAAAGAGCATCATTTTGTTGCGCCTAAACTTATTTTCCCTTTCTTTTGATATTTGAATTCTCGGTCAACGGGTGAAGCCCTGATTAAAGTAGGTTAAAGTGAATCCCGTGAAGCACCCCGGCGTCGAACTAGGCATAACAGACGCTGCCAGTAGTACGAGGCATCAGTGTGCAACATAGCAGACTGAGCGGTCAGACAAGTGGCCTAGAAAGTCATGAGGGACAGAGGAAAAGCACTAAGTGGGTCGTACCTATCTAGACCCGAGTATCCAGACCCAAGACGGATACATAACATGGTGCCCGGTATCCGAACCCGAGTAGGTAAATCTCTATAAATACACTACTATTTGCCTAATATTGAGGATCTTGGCTTTTTTACTCCAATTCTACACGCAAAGAGCTATATATTCAAAGAGCAGGAGACATATAGTCTTGAACCTCTGAACTTCCACCTTTTTAGGGCCAACTCTCCACCCAAAA